ATGGTTAGGAAAATATTAGTATATAAGAAAACATAAAAATATAATCGAATGTATAATCGCTTATCCACAAACAGGTAGAACAACCAGACAAACCAAGACGTCCCCAAAGCATAACAAGAAATAAGACGAAATGTACAGTAGCAGGAGATAGCACGAGAGTTGTACAGGAAATCAAATTAAAGCATTAAACAGAAACAGGACCAGGCCCTTAGTTGGAAAATATTAATACATAGACCAAACTAATTAAATGTGTAATTGAATGTCCAACTCCATATCCACAAATAAGCAACACAACAGAACCCAAACTAAAAGTCATTGCACATAGCCAATTTAGGACCCATTTCATGCCACATTAGTACAGACACGTCAAAGATGGTTTAAGAACTACATTTAAAGAGAATTTAGAACATAGATAAAACTAAAAAAAATATAATTGACTGTCCAATCCCTTAGTCGTAAATACATAGCAAATTGAAGTCCAAGCCCCAACCAAGACGTCTCCTTGGGTAGGGCAAAGAAATCAGATAGGTTGTATTGGTAGCACAAAAGAATAGAACATAAAATTAATATTAAAAGAATAAGGAAATAAAGAGATCACTAGTAGAAAAATATTAGTATATAAAAAAAAACTTAAAATCTAATTGAATGTCCAACTCCAACTCGTTGGCAAAGAAAGGGATGTCGTTAGTTGCATGATTGGTATACTCAGTGAAGAGATTGATAAGCTGCGGTAATTCACTGAATTGATATTTAATTGTTGCCGTTCTAAAGATGATTTCATTTCGAGTCTGGGGATTATTAATTTGAGAAGTTGTAGCTATGCATTTATGTGAGATGTGTGAGGACCTGAGTAATATTCCACATACTTGTTTATATCCATCTATGTGCTTATAGTTCTAAGTTGCTTGGGGACAAGCAACAGTTTAAGTTTGGGGAGTTTTATAGGTCGAAAAATGTGAGCGTTTTATATATTTAATAATGTGTTTTATACACTTAATTTATTCGCACATTTATATTTTTCGACCTATTTATTATTTGAATGGATTCATATACATTGATATTTTTATATTTATTTTCAGCATATTGGAGTAATTTTATGGATGGCGAAGCACTGCACGAAAGTTTACGTGATGCCCGAATACTGGATCAAATAAGGCCATTAAGGCTGGCAGCACATGAATAAAGATAATTGGGCCGTGAGTGTTTAATCACTTGGAGGACTAATTGGGTGAATTTTGAAGCACTCACTCACGTGACTAATTGGGAGGATTATATTGTGAAGAGTATTTTATCTCCTAAGGACTTTGTATGTTAGAATTAATTTAGCAGCCATGAAGTGATTTATTTGGAGAGCCGTGACCTATTGGGGGTGTTGGAAATTATTTTCCCAAAAAGAAGTAAGCCAGGTGAGGATTATTGACAAAAAAAAAAAGACGCAGACATCACGGAAGAAAAAAAGACGCGGCCGTAGAGAAAAACGAGAAGAAAGTAGACGCCACACAGCGGAATTATTTGCGAGAGAAAAAGGATTGGGAGTATACACACGCGGAGGGAAGCCGCACCTACACACGAGGGCGAATTTTATTCTCTCTTTTATTTTATTATTTATATTTTATTAGTATGTTAGGCTAGTATTTTTATCCAGTTTTAGGGAATGTTTGAACCCTAACTTGAATTTGTCTATGAATTTGAGGATTTATTTTTATCGTTGATTAATCGAGACGCCGTATTTATTTTTGTCGATGAGTTGATTCATGTTATCTGTGTATCGTGTTTATAAATTATGGTGTTTGATTTGGTTTGGCCAGCTACGTTAAATATTCATAGTTTAATTGCTAGATTCGAGACTTTAATCCGTAATTGTTATTGTCTTGTTTCGTTAGTAGTAAACTAGGGGTCGTGCATCTCTAGGGTAGCGTGAACATAAGTTAAATGGTCCGATCTTTTGCGTCCATTGCTTAGACTGATCTATTTTCCTCATTATTAATGCTGCTAGTGTATTAAATCTAGAGAGCTTATTCTAGGTTGTCCGCTAGTTAGATTTAGTCGAAGAACTTATTTCGATTAAATATTCAGTAAGGGAAAATTCGGTTAACAGAGCTTGTTGTTAGCTAGGGTTGGTAATTCATTAGCATTATAGAGAAAGCGTCGAAATTAATTAACGGTAGATTTAGATTGGGTGATAACTGAACCGAAAACTGGACTTCTCTTATTTTATTTGATCTCTTATTTTATTTTATTATTTTTATTTTTATTTTTATAAAACCAATCCCCCCACCTTTATTGCTTTCCTAGTTTAATTCGATTAATACGAGAATCATCACAATTTAATTCCTGCTCCTCGTGGGATCGACCCTTACTCGCCGCTACTACTAGTTAGTAGAGGTTTGTTAAGGAAAAATTATAAATTTAAATTTGGCGCGTCGCGACGTGCGGTCAGAGTTAGTTGTTCATCTTGAGACCGAGAGGAGATAGATAACAATTAATATCTACGATTTAACTTGTTCGAGAAAATGGTTTGAAATCAATTTAGCGATTATTTCTACGATAAAATTAAATGAGGTTTGTTTGAATATAAACGTTTCATGAATTAATTCCGAGGAAAGCATAACCTAGAATCTACCTTTTGTATCTTATTTTATTTTTATTTTTTTAGATAAATTAATTTTTATTTTAATTCCTAGTTTATAATCATCATTCAATTCACTAGTCTAGATAATATTTAATCGTCGTTATTTTAGTACTTAATTAATTTAACTACAATCTCTGTGGAATACGACCTTGCTCGCCACTACCTATAGTTACACCGTACACTTGCGGTTAGCGAAAATAATTAGCGAACACACATCCACCTCGGAAGAAACCAAATGGCAGTGGCAACTCCACCCCGGAAAGAGCCTTGGCAGGTAATTTGCTGATTCAATCTCCCAATCGTGCTATTAGGTTTTCTTCCTTTTGCAACCCCACCCCGGAAAGAGGATTGTATTATTTTTATGTATTTTGCATTTTTTCACCTAGGGTCATAACATCTGTCATAAGAATGCCATCAGTAAACAATTCTACTTCAAGGTGTACAAAATAATTTGGGATTTTATTATTTTTATGTATTTTGCATTATTTTGGTTCCGAGATGTTTTGGGTTGTTTGCTTCTATTTAACTGAATGTTCATTCTTTTACTTTCTTAAATTCATGTTAATTTCCGTTTAAAAAAATTTCGTTTATCGGTGATTAAGAATTTATTTAATATACATGAGTTGTAAGAATGGGCATGAGTAGGATTTGTCCATGGTTTATCAAATGCACTATTTTTTCAGCGGGCTATTATTGTTAATAAAATACACCTGGGCATGATTTGGCTTTTTCCATGGTTCATCAAATTATACAACAAATGTTTGGATATTAACCTATTTTTTGAGTTTTGAGGGTAAAATCTTGATATTCTCTCCACTAGGGAGTTGGCGACATAGACAATAAAAGTAATAAAGGCAGAGCTGATGCCAGTTGTTTATCAGTTATTTTTATGTTGTTTATATAAACATTAAAGCTTATGGCAGTTGCTTTTATGTTGTTTAATAGTTGTTGTGTTAGTATTTTGTTGTTGCACACTCAGTGTCTTGTTTTTTTATATAAAATATTTTTAATAATTTTTATGTTCATTTTTTTGTTGTTTTCTTAAATATTCATGTTTTAAGAAGAAGAAGAAGAAAAAGACGGAGAATGAGAAGAAGAAGAAGAAGAAGAAAAAGAAGATGGAGGAGAAGAAAAAGAAGAAGAATAAAGAGGATGGAGAAAAAATGTAAACAGAGAAGTAAGAGAGAGAATGAAGAGAGAAAAAAATTAGGAGAGAGGGAGCAGTTATTGATTTAAAATTTAAAATAGTTATTTCGTATAACTTTTACAGGAGTAATTTTGGAATTCAATAGAGTCTGCTGCTTATGTACAATTTTGTTTTAATAGGGGTCTAGTTATGTCTTTTGGGCGATAATTCTGAGGCTAATTTACAATGTGACGAGAATTTCTAAAAAAGTTTTTGAATAATATGATCGCTAGTACATACCTGTGTACTATACGGATTGTTTGAAAAAAAAAATATAAAATAATAGAAAAACACATGTTGTATAAAAGTGCAAAAAAAGAAAATACCAAAGTCTATATTATTTCAAATTTTGAAAAATCTCTTTGTACACAACATTAATAGTTTTATTTACAATTTTTCCATCCTTATCGCAACACAAAATTTTTAAGCCTCTCCTACTTAAATTTAAAATTTTTAAGCCTCTCCTACTTAAATTCAATTTTCTTAAGATGAATAATCGAGATGAAGGGGAATAAGAATTAAGGGGATGGTGATTTAAATAATGTAGAGAACAACTACTATTTATTCATTTAATTTAATAATAAATATATTTTTGGAGGGGATCGAATTAAGAAAAAATATATTATATTAAGCAATCCAATTTGTTTTTGTCACATCGATTTCGGCAAAGATTATTGGAGGGTAAAAAATCTTATTTACACGGCAAAAATTCTATTTATTAAATATTTTATTTTGAACAATTAGGGAATGTAATTATAGTATGTCCGAACCTCTTTATTTTGGAATATAATTGTATTAATTTTTATCCGAATCAAAAACCGAAACTTGTAATGTTGCCAAAATCATGTAATATTCTATAACTATTTCAATTATTTTTATAGATATCCTAAAAAGATTTAAATAATTTATTTACCATGGTTGGATTGAAAAGATATAATATGCAAGTGGCTATATATGTGTCCAATTTATTTTTGTAAAATTATAGTATTTTTCTTAATTTAAACTATGTAAAAAAAGTTATTGTTTACATTAATAATTCACTACGATTTTTTTTAATGTAAACAATAACTTTTTTTAGAATATCTGTTGGAATTTCTATCGAAATATATTATCATGGAATTTTCCGTTGGAATATAATAATTTTTTTTGTAGTGGGTGTACCAAAATTTCATGGTTCTCGTACCAAAATTCATGGTTATGCTTGGTTTTATTGTACCGTACTACATTGCGTTGTTCGACTCGTTTTTTTGGTTTGAGCTCAAATTTCGTCCATCCTAAGCAGTCAACACTCAACAGTGTCAAAACAAACAATTTTATAACCACAATCCAAAGAGTTCCACAACTATGCATATGGCCAAAAGAAAAAGAGATCCCCAATCTCAACCACAACCTCAACTATAGTGTTACAATACAAGAACTTAAATCAAACTTTAATTCCTCTCATTAATTTGTTTCCATTCCTTAGTTTGTTATTTTAATCAATTGTAGGGGTCACCCTGCTTGTACTTTCTAAAGAGCTCCTCTGTTTTCGCATTCCTAAAAGCACAACACCCGACCGAGTACACGCAAATCAAGGCGACTAACGTTATGATCAACACAACATCGGCCTTCCGCCACTCTTTCTTGAGGTTGGCAAGCAATCCGGCTTTGCACGAGTCGCACGAGTAGCAAAGTTGCGTTTGTTCGTTGTTCCACTGCACACAATCCATGTCGGCCGCGTTGTTTATGGGGCTAATCCAGTAGGTCGGGTTCACGAACGTGTACCCGCACTCTGTGGGTGGTTTGCAGCATCCCGACTGTTGACAGACAGAATATAATCGTCGAATATCGATCGTTGTTTGGTGTTAGCATAAATTAAATATGCATTTTTTGTTGTAAAAGAAGTTTGATGGGTCGACTAGTCGACTAATGATAAGGCTGTCTCACACGTGAACTTGTGAAAGAAATTAATAAATGTCATTGAGAATGTTATCTATATGTAGTTGTAATTGGGAGAGTGATTAAATGTACTAACTTTTAGTAGAAAACCTACATTAACACTCGTGGAATCATTTTTTTTTTTTTGGAAATAGAAACGTAAAGTGAAAATATGTAAGAGGGAAAGAGGTTAAGTATCACATTTTTATGATCTGCCCAAGCAAAGGTGATGTAGTAAAACTGTTGGGAAAAATATGAGCTTTTTTGGATTTCTTGAAGGAGATAACGGACTATCTTGGTGCCTAGTTAAGTCTTTTTTCTTAACTTTTATTGCTCGAAAGTCTTTCTATCACGTGATTTGATTTGTCACAATTAGAAAAAGATCTGGAGAAATTAAAATACTAATAATTTGAAGAATGATTAAATAAATTAGTGCAAATAGGACTATTGGGAAGCCCATCATTATTACACAACAGAAAGATGAGGATGCATTTTTATTTTCAAAATATTTCCACTAATTTATCCAAAATGCTTTATCAAAGCATTCCTATTGAGAATATATTTGACAAACAACACAAGAATGTTACTAGAAGAATTGAACAAAAAACAAAGATAGAAAGAAACAATACACCTCAAACACACTTTTTCCTCAACCGAATTTGTGCTTCAATTGCATTTCTCATCTTACTTCCATTTTCTAAGAAACAATGTCACATTTATACCACTCGGCACTCTTATTGTCAATCTTCTACAAACCAAACCAAAAGGCAAAAATCCAAAATAATAATAATAATAATAATCATATTTTTTTAAAGAAATATGCATACTTCCATGGACTTCTTAATTTCACAAAATAACACACACCTGTATTTTAAAGTATAACAGATTGATTAGCATATCGTTTGACAGAGACTCACACAAGAATCTATGTTCACCACAATTGCGGGCATAAGGGGCCCCTCCAAAAAAATAAGTAAAATAAAATAAAATAATAACTAANCAAGCAAAAAACAAAAAGTAAACCCAGATGAAAAAAAATAAAAAACCTAGGTAACTAGGTAGCCAAAGAATTTACCTGGAGAGGGGTAATATGGGCATTGAAGAAATCCTGAGCCATTCGGTAACTCTGGTTAAGCTCGGCGCACATTGTGGAGGAGCTCAAACAGGCTCGTATCCTATCCCACTTGTAGGAGCTCCGGACCCTCCTTTGGAGCCATCCCGAGTAGCCGTCCAGGCTGTACTCCAGGTAGGCTCGGCTTGGCACCGCGTGGCCCGACCCTCTTGACGTCACCATGTACACAAACACTGCCAGGCTGGCGAGTAGCACGATGAGTGCCAGCATGGCAACCAGGTAGAATATTAGGAGGCACGGGATCCGCCAGAAGCCGCCAACAAAGCCGGCTATGGCGACAGCTAGGATGAGGACGCCGAGGATTATGACTGGCCATTGGAGGATTTGGACGCACGAGTTGTCAGGTAAAGTCGTCAGCCATATGCCTGAGCCGATGACGGGGATTGAGAGGAGCATGGCTACGAAGTTTATGGCTCCAATTACGTTGTTGCTCAAGGCCATGGG